TGGGATGTAGACCCCAAAAAGGAAAAACCCCGGACTTGCCCACATGGCCAAATCTCTGGTATTCCCCTGAGGCTATAATCTCATCAACTGGCCTTTCATTGTGGGCTGCCCTATGGCCCCAGGCCACTTTCCACATTTAATCCTATCTAGGCTCCATTCTCCCTTGGCCTTGTGGTCCAGGTCCTTGGAATTCTATTATCTCAGACTACTTGGCCACTCCTAGATCCCTCCCATAGTACATTTTGTCTCCATTAAGGTGCTTAGATTCTTAAAATCTAGCCACTGCTCAGAGTCTTAAAATCTAGCCAATAGCTCACTAATGTTCAGACTCCTTAAGAGTCTGCCCAATATGACAGGATGTTCTAATAAACCTTGTTTTTGGCTGAAAGAAAAGAAAAACTTTAAAGCCCTATAAAAGATATCCCTAAAATTTTAGTGAAGTCTTAAGCCATTAAACCCTTTGTGGCACCATGTATAACTTTCAACTATCATTATTATTACATTTTGCAAAAGTGAGGATTAATAATGAAAAATATTTCTTATATTAATCCACTTCCTCTCATAAAAAAACAAGTTCCTCTAAAAAATCTCAAAGGGAAGGAATGGACAAGGAGCAAATTGATTTTGTGTATTATTTATATAATAATTAGGCTTCCCTAATTCCTAGATTTGGTTATAAAATAACAAGGAATTGAAAGCATAAATGAAAAGATAATGCAACATTCAAGAATGCACTTTGATGAACACCACTACTTAAAATAAAGAAGCAACCTAATAAGGAATATAGTGTAAAGACAACTTTGCTCAGAGGACAACCTGTCATAATCTCAGATTCCATTCCATTCATCCAACATTTATTATGAATTCACTTTACATCATCATTATGATAGCTGGCTTTAATTCTTTTCTGTAATTATCACTTTATTGTCAATAACAACTTTTCCCCTCAGATCTCGTATAAAAAATGGTTTTGAATACAACCAGAATCTTAATGGGTGCTCAACAACTGAGAGATGACTATACAAATTTTGATACTTCAATGTAATAGAATATTATCATTCAGTAAGAAATGATGACAATGAGGGATTGAGAGATTCTTTGGAAGATTTATATAAACTTGTGAAGTGAAGTAAGTAGAATCAAAGGAACAATGTACATAATTATTACAATAATGTAAATGAAAACAACACTAAAGGGGATCAAATTCAGAATAATTGCAAGAAGCAATCTTGTTCCTAGAAAAAAATTAATGGCAATTCTATCTTTCCCCATATAGGTGAGGGACTATGGCAGTAGAATGTTTCATTTGCAGGTAGACATGGTTATTTTGTTGGTCAGTTGTGCTGAACTTTTTTTTTATCTTATTCAGTAGGGGAGGGTGCTATGTGGGGAAATGACTGTGTAAAAAAACCATTCATTAATAAAAATAAAATTTGGCTTTACATGTGTTTATACTTTTATCACATGCTATATGCCATAATTATTTGTGTATATGTTCTATCCTGATACTAGAATGTACACTTGTCGAGGACAGTGATTATATCTTAGCTAAATTCTGTCCTAGCCTCTGGTTTACCACTCTGAATTCAGCATGTGTTTAACAAATATTATTTGAATTGAATGTCACTTGTAGAGAATCAGCTGATGGAGTGAAAGAGCCCTTGACTAAGGGATGGGAATCACCGGGAAGGCAGTAGTTGTAGCTCTAATCCTAGATCTGCTACTAGTTAGCTGTATGACTTGGGGCAAACAATTTCACCTCTCAGTGCTCAGTTTTCTCATCTGAAAAATAAGATGGTCTCTAAAATCCTTTCCAACTCCAAAATTCTTTGATTTTTTTATTCTTAAGAATCTAAATTTTTGTTAAATTTAAATTTAGAGAAGGTTAAAATAAAATATTTTAAAATTTTATATTAGGACCCAGATTACTATTTTAAAATTAAAACTCAGTGCATGAGAATAACATACACATCTAATTTTGAAGCTTAAATTTTCCATAATTTAGAATGCATAAAAAATGAAAAGCAGTTATATAGTTTGTCCAGAGGAAGAAAAGATGTTTTCAATTAGAAATATTAGAAATTCTTATCCTCTGACTCTTTCAGTTACTATTTTTGTGACCTTGGGCAAGACATTTCTACTTTCTATGCCTCAGTTTCTTCATATTTAAAATGAAGAGGTTGAACATTAGATGACTTCTAAGATCCCTACCAGCACTAAAGCTTTGATACTATGATTCCCTGACTCTTCAAAAGATTGATCAATAAGAACAGAAGATTTCTGAGCTATAAATTATTATTCTTATCAGGTTTTTTGAGTTGTTGCTTCCTAAATTAATTGACAAATTTGCTGCTATACCAATGAAATACCGAAGAATTACTTTTAGAAATGGAACAAATGATAAAAAAAAAATTCATCTGGAGGAACAAAAGAATGTGAATCTCAAGAGAAATAACGAGAGGGGTGGTTGTAGTAGGAAGAATGGGTCTTAGTAGTGCCAGATGACAAGTAAAAAATCAGTATTATTTGGAACCATAAAACAGAAAAGTTATTTAGTGGAATAGATCAGGTAGATAAGATCCAAGAACAACTGAAATCAGGGTCAAGGCCTCACTGCCTGACAAAAAGGGATAAGAAAATTAGAAAGAATTCTGGGAGAAATTAGGCTTATATCAACATCTCAGCACATCCAAATGGATGTATGACCTACATGTGAAAGATCACAGCATGAGAAAATTAGAGTAGCAAGGAAGAAAATACATTTTACAACTATGGATAGGGATGAATTATTGACCAAAGAAGGTTGAGAGAAGATTAAAAGTGATCTTTGATCCACTGTTAGGCAAAAGAAGTAAGACAGAGAGAAAGGAGCCATGTGTATAAAATATTTATAGCAACTCTTAGTAGCAAAAAACTGAAAACAGTGGTTGCCCATTTTTTGGGTGTGGCTAAACATATGTTAAACAAACATAATAGAATATTATTACACCATGTGAAATTACAAAATGTATAGATTTAGAGAAACTTTGGAAAACTTGAATAAACTGATGAAGAATGAAGTGAGCAAGACCAGCAGAACTATTTATATGATGACCATAATATTATAAAGAACAACTTTGAAAGTCTGCAATGACCAATCACAACTCCAGAAGACTACTGATGAAGCACGTTTATCACCTCTTGGTAAATAGTAAAAACAACTAATGGTGCAATTGTCCATTTATATATAGATTTACCTCCTTAATTCAATGATTCATTGTTACCTGATCCAAAGAACTTCCTACTTTCTATTGTCATAGTTAATTTTGAGCAAAAATGGCTTCCTAAAATGCTCTACTAAAATGTTCCATGGAGGCCAAACATTTGATATTTTTCCACATCATCTAATGGCTCAGAGTCATCTGATAATAATATTAGCAAGTAAGTATAGATCAACTAAAAATAGCAGCTAGGTGGTACAGTGGATAGAGTGCCTGGCCTGGAGTCAGACAGACCTAAGTTCAAATCTGGACTCAGACACTAGCTGCATGACCCTGGACAGTTCACTTAACTCAGTTTCCTCATCTATAAAAGCTGGAGAAGGAAATGGCCAACTGCTCCAATATCTTTGCCAAGAAAACCCCAAATGAGATAATGAAGAGTTGGACACAACTGAAAAATGACTGAACAACTAAAAGAAAGCATCTTGTTCAACATATTGTTGGAGAAGTCATTGCTAAAATTAGTGGGCTAATCAAACAATTATTTTTTAGAGGACAAGTTAACTTTAAGACCAAAAGCTAAAATTAGGTACACAAGTACAGACTTTCTATGTGCACCTACAAAATAAAACATTTAATTGGTACCAGACAATAACACTTTGTGAAAAGCAAATCTTTTGTTGTTATTGTTCATATCATACACTAGGCAAAGCACGTGGTTGGGGGTATATAATTATTGGACATTCTTTGAAATGTTTTACCAGGTACTAAAAAAGAAGAAAATACATTATTAGATGTCCTTTGTGTTCTTGAAAGCCCTTCTTAATTTTCCTTTTTCCTACTTTCTCCTCTTTCCTGCTCTCTTTTTTCTTCTTCTCTTCCTTCACTCACCTTCCTATCCCTAGGAAGCCCAAGTACAGGATGACAGCTCCTGTGTCAAAGGAGCAATAATTAAAACAAGGTCTCCCATAGGCCAGGGTGTTAGGGGATGATGGGTGTTTCACCTGTTTCTTCTGGTGAGGCAGGATGGCATAGTAGAAACACACTGGATTTGGAGTTGAAAGACCTGGGTTTGAATCTTGGGAATTTACTTGCTATCAAGTCTTCTCATTTGTTTAATGAATTGGATCTTATGCTTTATCAATTGTATTACGCTACACAAGGGCTGTGTTTATATGCTTGGCAACAGGCTATTCTAGAACAACTCTGGTAAACACTTATGGCCAACCCAATGAACTACATCTACTCAGAGTTAAAAAGAAAGTAACAGTTATTTCTCAGTCTTACTTCAATCTGTCAGCATGCAAGAAGGATCACTGCTGAAAGTTTCTATTAAGTTTCTTTATGTTAGTTCTGCCTAGCTTGCAAATAAAAAAGCAGTCTTGACTCAAAAGACTCATTTCCATATGTTCTTACCACCTTCTATTTTTAAGTAATCCTCTTGTTTCTTTACCTTGGTGAAGTAAAATGCTTGTAACTGAAAAAGAAAAAAGCCAAACTTTCCCCTGTCCCCCAGCAAATGAATTAAAAGTAGAAACTCTCTCACATTATAGGGTAATGATCTAGAGCTAGAAAGGACCTGACTGGCCCTTTAGTTCATCTCCTCATTTTATGGGTGAGGCCCTGGGGAGATAATGTGACTTGGCTAAATTCACACAGAGCGGGGTTTGGAGTCAAGGTCCTCCTACTTCAGGGTCAGTGTTCTTTCTACTGTACTGTCCCACCTCAGAAAATAGAGCTAGTTACTCATCTTTCTTCTCTACTATTACCGTAGAAGATTTGACCCGAATCATAACTCACCTATTAAACTGCTGAACTTTTTGCTAATCCCTGGGGGAGAAAGTCCAAATAAAAAAATGATCAAAAAGAAATTCATAGGGAAAATTATGACTTATCTGGTAATTCTCTTGGATCTGCCTAGAGCTTTCTTTCTATTTCTCAAAGCATCCCATTACCCAGCCAGAACATTGTGACATCACCACTCAATGGAAGTTAGAATGTAGAATGAGATGAGTTTGAGTCAATCGGAAGAATATTTTACATTCAGTGGTTTCTTTTTTTTTAAATTAATTTCACAAAATGATGTTTGGGACATAATATATTTGAATTAACAAGAAGGAACATATTTGAATAAAAAATCTATTTCAGCCTTTTCGTTGAAAACATTAATAATAATGAATTCAAAATATTTGCTTTCCAGTTTTAAAATCTTTTTAGTTCTGTATATCTTTTGAAGTAATGACAATCAAAATTATTATCTTTTTAAAATAATCAGAAATGATAGGTTTATGCTTAAGAAGAGTCTCATTCATGTACATGATGCTACTTTTCCTTCAGGAAAAAAAATATTGGATAAATTTGTTGGAATTTTAAAGCTACTTAGTCCTATTTTGTTGTTGTTGTTCAGTCATTTCAGTCATTTTTGACTTTTGGATTTGAAAATCCCATTTAGGATTTTCTTGGCAAAGATACTAGAGTGCCATTTTCTTTTCCAGCTCATTTTACAGATGACACAACTGAGGCAGATAGGGTTAAGTGACTTGCCCAGTGTCACATTTGTTTGTACATAATAAACAATAAATGTTCTATTTTTTCATTCATAAGGCCAGACTTAATGACATGTGTGTTGAGCCTTGAAGGATGGGAAAAAATTTTTCCTTCTAAGAGATGGTGTGAGCAGTTACAGAGATAGGAAAATGTAGTAAAAGTTCCAGGAATGGTGCTTAGTTACATTTGGTTAGAAGACTATAGAGTATATGTACAGTGAAACGACTAGAAAGATAGTTCAAAGCTAGATTGTTGCAGTCTCGAATGCTAAGTGAAGGAATTGAGTTTTTACTTGCTAGGTAGGTAGTGGGGTGCTATTGAAAGGTTTTTGAGGAGAGGGGTAATAATCAAATATTCACATTCAAAAAATTAACTTGGACTTTTGGTGAAGATGGTAACGTGAAAGTTCCTGCTGGAACCTAGCCCTCTCAGAAATGCTCTGGCAATGATCTAAAAGGGCATAAAATGGAACAAGCATGAAGAATACCGAACAAAAATAATAGTAAGCTCTTTCATTCAGTCCAGTACTGTGTAAGAAGATGGCTAGAAGCCTGAGGGCACCCAGAGCAGACTGCATTGGGGGAGGTGGAAGCCAGTATGAGCTCCTCTGGTAAATGGAACCTGAAGCCAGTGGGATATAGGCCCTGGTCTGTTAGAACATCATGAGAGGACAGAACCAGTCTCTGATTAGTGACTGTGTGGGGAGATATGTCACTGAATGTATGCCTCAATGTACTCCAAAAAGCCTGAGGCTAGTACTACTATAGAAGCCACAGCAGGAGACAGAACCAGCATAGCACCAAGCATTCCATATGTCAATTAGCTCTCCAAGAGCCCTGAAGTCAATGTTCTATTAAAAGTTATTGCACTATGTAGAGCAAAGTCACCTAAGGGACTTCTAGGAGATTCTGTGAGCATAATTTCTGATCAGGGAAAGGACCAAACTCTAATTTAGGGATTATGTTCGAAGAAGGACACTAATGCCCAGCTAAACTACCAAGGAGAATAAGGGTAAACAAGGGTGTAGTCCTAGCCACCCTATACAGAATTGTAGCAGCAACAACAGCTTCCAAACTCCAGAGGTAATAGTATATAATATAGAGTGCCTACCCTGTCTAGCAGTACAAGAAGCAGTATGCCCTGGCCCTGGCACAAAATCCCCATCTAAGATCAACTTAGAAATGTGAGTAAACAGAAGAAAATTCTGCATAAAATGAAAAAAAAAATTAGGAGATAAAACCAGAAGAGGGTAACAACAATGAGTACAAGTACCACCTCAGAAAAGAATGGCTTGGTCATAAGAATTCAAAGAATGGCTAGAAGAAATGACTCAAACAGTAGCAAGTGAAGTTAAAAATGCAATCACAGATCTTGAGGAGAAAAAGTGGAAGGAAAATAAATAGCTTATCATAGATGATAGGCAACAAAATCCAAGTAGTGGGGGATGAGCCAAGATGGCAGAGTAACAGCAGTGACTTGCTTGAGCTCTCCCCTAAACCCCTCCAAATACCTGTAAAAAATGGATCTAAACAAATTCTAGAGCAGCAGAACTCACAAAAAAGACAGAGTAAAACAAATTTCCAGCCCAAGACACCCTGGATGGTTGATTGAAAGGTATGTTGTGCTGGGCTGAGAGAGAAGCACAGCAGTTGAGTGTGGGCCCCTCAGGCAAAGACCAGGCCTCAGTGAACCTGGAGCAGGCCTCAGGGGACTGAATCATGGGTAGCTGTGGCAGTTTGCAGACTTCTCCACCCACAAACACCAAAAACAACTTAGAAGGTCAATAGGAAATGTCTGTCAGACTGTGGTGAGAAAAGAGCTTGGTCTGGCTGTGCAGCCCTGGGAAGGCGGCTGCTTCTAGAGCTCTCAGCCCACTGATGGTGGGGGGATTGAGCAGCTGATCATAGAGGGATTGCAGGGATCTCTTTGCTGGTGCTGAGGCAGGATTCTTTTGCTGTGCCCATGCTTGGATCTGGGTCACAGTATTGGGTGGCAGTCCTGGGGCGGGGAGGAGGATTTCTTTTCATGCTTCCCTTAAGTCTTGTAGTCGAAAGTCAAATTTTCTATTCAGCTCTGGTCTTTTCATCAAGAATGCTTGAAAGTCCTCTATTTCACTGAATATCCCTTTTTTTCTCCTGAAGGATTATATTCAATTTTGCTGGGTAGGTGATTCTTGGTTGTAATCCTATCTCTTTTGACTGCCAGAGTATTATATTCCAAACCCTCAGGCCCCTTAATATAGAAGCTGCTAAATCTTGTGTTACCCTAATTGTGTTTCCACAATACTTGAATTGTTTCTTCGTGGCTGCTTGCAATATTTTCTCCTTGACTTGGGAATTCTGGAATTTGGCTATAATATTCCTAGGAGTTTTCCTTTGAGGATCTCTGTTAGCAGGTGATTGGTGGATTCTTTCCATTTCTATTTTACCTTATGGTTCTAGAATATCAGGGTAGTTTTCCTTGATATTTTCTTGAAAGATGATGTCTAGGCTTTTTTTTTTAATCATGGCTTTCAGATAGTCAAATAATTTTTAAGTGATCTCTCCTGGATCTATTTTCCAGGTCACTTGTTTTTCCAATGAGATATTTCATATTGTCTTCTACTTTTTCATTCTTTTGGTTTTGTTTTACAAATTCTTGATTTCTCATAAAGTCATTAGCTTCCATTTGCTACATTTTAATTTTTAAGAAAGTATTTTTTCTTCGGTGAGCTTTTGGACTTCTTTTTCCATCTGACCAATTCTGCTTTTGAAGGCATTCTTCTCCTCACTGGCTTTTTGGACCTCTTTTGCCATTTCAGTTAGTCTATTTTTTAAGGTGTTATTTTCTTCAGTATTTTTGTGGGTCTCCTTTAGAAAGCTGTTGACTTGTTTTTCATGATTTTCTTGCATCACTCTCATTTCTCTTCCCAGTTTTTCCTCTACTTCTCTTACTTGCTTTTCAAAATCTTTTTTTGTTTTTTGGTTAGGCAATGGGGTTAAGTGACTTGCCCAGGGTCACACAGCTAGTAAATGTTATATGTCTGAGGCCAGATTTGAACTCTATCCACTGCACCACCTAGCTGCCCCTCAAAATCCTTTTTGAGCTCTTCCATGGCCTGGGACTGATTCATATTTTTCTTGGAGGCTTTGGATGTAGGAGCTTTGACTTTGTTGTCTTCTTCTGGTTGTATGTTTTGATCTTCTTTGTCACCAAGTAAGATTCTATGGTCTGTTTTCTTTTGTGCAGTTTTTTTCATGATCCCAGCCAACTACTTGACTTTTAAACTGTTTGTTAAGGTAACGGTCTGCTTCCAGTGTGGAGAATGTACTGTCCCAAGCTTCAGGGGTGAAGCTGTTTTCAAAGATACTTCTAGGGACCTGTAAATTTTCAGTTCTTCCAAGGCGGTAAGATCAAGGGCAAGGTGTTTACTCCTTTCCTGGCCTGGGCTCTGGTCTATGAGTGACCACAAACACTCTTTTCTGCCTTGGTATTCTGAGGAGGATTTTCTCTGTACTGACACCACAAGCTCCACCAAGCCAGGGCTCCTCCTTGCCCCAGGATAGACACCCAGGAATGTGACCCAGATCCAAACACAGGCACAGCAAAAGAATCCTGCTTCAGCACCAGCAAAGAGATCCCTGCAATCCCTCTGTGATCAGCTGCTCAATCCCCCTACCATCAGTGGACTGAGAGCTCTAGAAGCAGCCGCCTTCCCAGGGCTGCACAAGGACTGGAGCCAGACCAAGCTCCTCTCTCACCACAGTCTCCCGGTCCATTCCTATTGACCTTCTAAGTTGTCTTTGGCATTTGTGGGTTGAGAACTCTGAAAACCACCACAACTGCCCATGATTCAGTCCCCTGAGACTCCAGGTTCACTGAGGCCTGGTCTTTGCCTGAGGAGCCCACACTGAACTGCTGTGCTTCTCTGTCAGCCCAGCGCAACATACCTTTCCAATCAACCATCCAGGGTGTCTTGGGCTGGAAATTTGTTTCACTCTGTCTTTTTGTAGGTTCTGCTGCTCTGCAATTTGTTTAGATCCATTTTTTACAGGCATTTGGAGAGGTTTGGGGGAGAGCTCAAGTAAGTCACTGCTGTTACTCTGGCATCTTGGCTCTGTCCCCCTCCCCCAATAAAGGATATTTGAAAAGAGGATTTCAGCCTAAATGAAGACTAAATAATATGGTCCCAAAGAAGATGTGGATCAAAGAACAAATCATAGAAAGAATAGATAACATAATCAAAGAAAATGATACAACCCTACCAAAACTTTGGGATGAAGCCGAAGCATTTATTAGGGGAAAAGCCATACCTCTGAACATTTTCATCAATTAAAGAGAAAAATAACCAATCAACTAATTGGATTTTCAACTAAAAAACAAATATGATACTGATACTTAAGTCATAGATAGACAAGGTAGAGAAAGAAAACTATATATCA